CAATTATTTTTATTATATATTTTTTTCAGTCTGCTTCTTCAAATCATTACTACTCTTTTTGTAATTATTGTTATTACTATTATCATTATCATTATTACTAGTTGTATTTTTCTTGTTGTTATTATAATCATTATTACAGTTATTGTTAAAATCATCATCAATATCACTATAATTATCATTATTATTGTCATTGCTGTTGATGTTAGCATTAGTAGTATCATCATCACCCTTATACTTTTCAACTTTCTCATCACCACCATTATCCTTTCTCCTCCTCCCCCTCATCACTACCACTCGAATTCTCGTATTTATATATTTTTTTCTCTTTTCTTCTTTTAATTTAATACGGCGAGGTCACGTGCACTTCCCATATATTTTTTTTTTTCCTTCTCTTTCTTCCCTTCTTTCTCCTCTTTCTTCCCTTTTTCCTCCTATTTCTCCTCGTCTTCTTCCCATTCTTCCTCTTTCTCATCTTTCTACTCCTTTTCTTCTTCCTTCCCTTCCTCCTTCTCCTCATCCTGAAAATCTTTATTATCATTCTCCTCCTCCTCTTCCCCTTCTTCTTCTTTATCTTCCTCCTCCTCTTCCCCTTCTTCTTCCTCCTCCTCTTCTTCCCCTTCTTCTTCTTTTTCTTCCTCCTCCTCCTCCTCTTCTCCTTCTTCTTCTTCCTCCTCCTCCTCCTCTTCTCCTTCTTCTTCTTCTTCCTCATCCTCCTTTCCCCTTCTTCTTCTTCTTCCTCCTCCTCCTCTTCCCCTTCTTCTTCTTCCTCCTCCTCCACCTCCTTTCCCTTCCTCCTCTTCTCTTCTTCTTCCTCTCCTCCTCGTCCTCGTCCCTTCTCCTTCCTCCTCCTCCTCTTCCTCTTCTTCTCCTCCTCCTCTTCCCCTGTCTCCTCCCCCTCACCTTTCTCCTCCTCTTCCCCTCAACGCAGGACGGCGAGGCTACCTACCGCTCGCGCATCCTGGAGAGCGACTCCTACAAGAGGAACTCGGCGGCGAACAGGATTGTCGTCGACGAGTTCGGGACGAGAGGATACCCCGATCCTTGCAAGACCATCCTGCAGAAGTATGTTGCAAGGATGGGCGTTTTTTAGGGGGGGGGTTTGGGGGGTTTGGGGGTTTTTTGGGGTTGGGGGTTTTGGAGTTGGGAGTGGGGGGTAGGGGGTTGGAAGTGGGGGTGGGGGTTGGGGGATAGGGGGTTGGGGTTGGTGGATGGGGGGTTTGGGGGGTAGGGGATGGGGTGGGTGGGGGAAGGGGGGGTTACGGTGGTGGTATGTTGTTGTTATTGTTTGTTGTATTAGTTATATACCAACATATATAAATTAAATACAAATTATGCAAATTATATATATATACAAATTATATATGTACAATTATATACAAATTATATATATATACAATTATATACAAATTATATATACACAATTATATACAAATTATTACACACATAAATTACATACCAACTCCCACCTTTCCGCAGATTCATGAGCACCTTCGCCGGGCCAGACCTTGACGGCATGACAGACAACTGCGCCGTCAATGTCTGCTTCTATGGCGATCAGCTGTTTGCCATGACAGAAACCAACAAGATGAGACGTGTTGACCCAGCTGATTTAAAGACCGTCGGAGACAAGGTGAGGTTGAAGGGTTAGGTCTAGGATTTGTGTTTGGTTATTTATTTATTTGTGTCTTTGGTGCGTTTATTTATTTATTTTTGTCTATGGTTTGGTTATTTGTTTATTTATTTTTGTCTTTGGTGCGTTTATTTATTTATATTTGTCTATGGTGTGTTTATTTATTTTTTGTTGTCTATGGTGTGTTTATTTATTTATTTAATTAATTGTGTCTTTTATTTATTTATTTATCTTTGTCTTTGGTGTATTTATTTATTTATTTATTTTTGTCTATGGTGTGTTTATTTATTTTTTGTTGTCTATGGTGTGTTTATTTATTTATTTAATTAATTGTGTCTTTGGTGCGTTTATTTATTTATCTTTGTCTTTGGTGTATTTATTTATTTATTTATTTTTGTCTATGGTGTGTTTATTTATTTATCTATTTTTGTCTATGGTTTGTTTATTTATTTATTTATTTTTATATATGGTGTTTATTTATTTATTTATTTTTGTCTTTGTTGCGTTTATTTATTAATTTATCTTTGCCTGTGATGTGTTTATGCTGTCTTCGTTTCTAAGTTTGGATTTTGTGATTTTTTATTTATTTATTTTTTAATTCTAGAGTTGTAATATTATTTGTGACTGACAGGTGCTAGAGTACATTGTTTACCCCTACAGTGAAAAAAAAAAAAAAAATGCTGATATTGAATAGTTGTGCATGATGTTCTTATGTTATTCATTGCCGTGTTCTTTAGGAGATAAAATTGTTGAATAGTCGTATATGATGTTATTTACTGTGTTCTTTCTGAGATGAAACTGGATCACTATAAATCTTCTTATCGCCATCTTTACTATAAGAATATGATGAATTCCGACACAGATAACCTA